GAATACACCTTTTATGGCGGTAGTGCAAAAATACGAGGTGATGCATTCACCAAAATGTCAAAATGATTTATTTTACAACGTGCTCAGCATTTTAAAAAATTCAATCCAAATATGTAATTTATCGAGTATACAAAAGAAGAAAAATTGGTCTTTTTCAAGCTACTTCAAAAAAGGAAGAGGTTCCCATTATTTTTTATGAATTTTAAGTAATTCTTGACAACGTTGTCTGATTTCAATAATTCTATTTTTGTTGGAAAGGTTGGAACCACTACGATCGTCAAGAGTGGTCCCATACAAATATGATAAAGATCTGACAATAGAAACCATGAGAAAAAATCAAAACCTTCAAATTTGCCAAAACACCTACACGACGTATGAAAAAATAATTATTTACCAAATTAAACGATTTCGATTATTACATTGTTTTAAATGGTTTAAAGTCATATTTCACTTTTTCATAAATATAAACACCGAATTAAATTGATACAAAATAAAAAAGATTGGTGCGTCAATGACAATAAATGCGAAATATCAATTTTTATATTATAATAACAATTGATATAGCGGACAGACGTGTTGAATGCTACCGCAAAGGTTTTCAAAACAAACGTTGATCGTGATCTGTCGCAATTGTGATGAACTAATTTACTGTTTGCAGGAGCATTACCTTGCCTACACCTACGTGTATTGTAACAGGCATACTGTATCAGGAAAAAACGCTATGAAAACTCCCCTCCGATCTACTGGTGGTCAGTGTTCCTCTATGGTAACAGATATAATCGTTAAGATTTTATTTATATATCGATAAATTAGGATTTTAAAAAATTTGCCAAATGGAATTCAAAAATGTGATTAAAAATCCAAGCATTGTTGTCGTATTAAGCTAAAATTTGATTTCCTTTACATTAAAATTTGATTAAAATCAGTTATGGATTTAGCATTATTTATGAATTTCCTTCCCAAAATTTCATAGTTTGGACTCAATCACTTATATTGAAACACTGTATATTGAGGTGTATTATTTTGTGCCCACTTTATAATTCTAATTTTTAAAAAAATGTTAACTTGTATTAGTCGACCAACAAGATCATGTTGTAACAGTTTTGTATGCAAAGCGATTCGCTATTGGCTGAGATTGTCTCATAGCAAGAAACTCAAACATTCATCAAACAACCTAATCCTATGCATTTTTACAACAATATTAGTTATTTAAATATCTAAAAATATATTAATATAGATATATATATATCATATTATAATATCAACATATTATACTCGTACATTAGCAAGCGTAATGTAATGTATATGTAGAATAATAAATATGTAGAACAAAGTAATTTTTCAGACATTTTTTATCAACAAAGTTATCGAATAGGCCTGTTGATCGACTTGGTGAAGGACTTTTTGTGTGAAGTCCGTTCTCTTTGAACCTCTTTTTCTGTTGCATACGCAGATGATAGCTCAATTGTGGAGAGATACAAGTCGAGTACTAAGTAAGGTAAGTCTCCCCCCACCCCCGAACGGGTTCCCGCCTTGTCGTGGCGGGGGGGCTTAGTAGCCGTGACTTGGTCACCCGCGGTGGACTAAAAGGAACCCCTTGGCTGGCCCGTGGTGTAGGGCCGGCCCGAGGTGGCCACTCCGAGTGGACTTGGCAAGCCCACTTCAGATGTGTGTCGGTGGGCTGCGATGAGAGGGGTGTCCTCTCCCCCTACCGCTGCAGCCGAGGTGGAGCCGCCGAGGAATAGGAGTGTTGGTATGGCGATGCGCTACTCGCCCTATCCTCCGCGACTCTGACAGGGCCGCACCGTTGAAGCGGTGGTGGTGGGGCCGCGGGGTGAGAGGAGTGTCGGTATTGAGAGGCGCCGCTCTCCCTACCCTCCGTGGCCAAAACTTGGTTGGCGGCGGAGCCAGAGACCAGATCCGCCGCTGGGGTCGGAAAAGCGGGTGCTACTAAGCACTCGATTTTCCTGGGCCCATGGCCTCCGCGTATCTAACTCGGGGGGGGAGGTCCAATACGCATGTATTGTTGGAGGCCATGGAGGGGGGCGTGCTTTGTGTTCCTAATGCGCTTTGCCTGAGAAGGAGAACGGGGAGTAGAGGTCCTACCCCGAAAGGGGGCCATAGGGCGGCCGGCGCTGGTGGGGCTGCGGATGTGTGCGAAAGCGTTCCCGTGGTCCTGCCAAAATGTGGCGAAGGTGGAACACCATGGGGTTATAGTCGGTGCCAGTCCGACATAACCCATCCTTGCCCCCGCGAGGCGGGTATGCGTAGGCATTTCCCCATGTAAAAAAAATTAAAGTCAGTCTGGACAATTTTTGAATGAGTCGATGCCAATGTTGTTCAAAAAATTCAACCCGTCCACACAAGCTGGTTTCTTTCAGATTTCACCTTTAGCATTTGGACGTTGAGATTTCCTCGGGCCTGAACTTTCTTTCTTTATAGGTAGTGGATCAATTTTTCTGCCTACGAGTTCGTCTGGGTTAGTGCTACAATCTTACCTATTTCTGCCACCAAATAGCAGTGCTTGCACTGCTGCGTTCCAGTCTAAAGGTTATAGAGAGACAGTATAGTTACAGGTTGTAAGACATATAATCATAGTCCTCAGAGAAGATAACGCATCTTAACGCATAGTCTTTTTTGTATGAAGTTACAAAAGAAGAAGAAGCAGGTGTCAATAGGCTACAGTAGCCACTTTATCATCAGGTAGAAGAAAGTTCGTTGGTCACTTCAGTTTTACTAAAAAACACTTGTACGGTTTATTGATCGATCGATCCAGAGCCAAAGCCGCCAAAGTCCGGTGGGTATAATAAGGTTTAAATTGCCAAAACAAATGGTATGAATAGATATATTCAATATAGATCACAAGTGTAATTCTTATTGAAAGTAGTTTCCTACGTTACCACTGGTTCGAAAAAAAACCCTCTGTCCTGGGAAGAACCAGCAAGAAACCCAGCGGGACTTTTTTAAAGTAAATTTTACATGAATGGTTGTACAAACTATATACAAAATGTATTTTAGAAACAGCTTTTTTTATATAGAATAGGGGTGACAAACGAGCACATAGTCCACCTGATCGTAAGTGGTTGCTGTGGCCCATAGACATCTACATCTATCTTCGTTTGCGAATTAAAATGCAGATGCGTCGTCACCCGTGAGGACTAAGATGGAATGCCTATTTTCCAGTAAAATGGGTCTCCGGTTCTCTACACTCACCATACGAAACACAGAAGCGTCAAGCTGCCATTTTACTCTGGTATTCTGTGAGAGCGTGGTCCTTCCCCGGTCGAGGCGACCCATTCGTGCTACAACTATACTACTAATATAGCTGCAGCATGGCTCTACCACGTATAAAAGCTTGGAAGCTACAACCTCATTCCCAGGGGTTATTATCAACCATTTACTCATTTATATTATTATAACCCTTTTTATACAGTTTTAGTTTAATAGAATATTTAAACTTGGTAATAGATTGAGATTGTATATTTTCTGGGACTTCTGGGAATGAATTACTGACTCTGTGGAGTCGAGATTACAGAGTGTTTTTCACTTTTTTTACTAAAACTACCATTGAACTTTCGATAAATGGTAGTGCAACCATCTCGTTTACGTCAAATGTCAATACCCAAACCGGATATGCATTCATAAGAATCCACGATTTAATTGTATAATTCCTAAGACATCGACCGATTTGTAAAATATCCCAGATGTAAAATAGTCCAGTCCGGCTATGGGAAGCAACATTAATAACGCGAGTTATAGTGAAAATGAAGATGTTCTGTAAAATATTCTATTATCCGCTGATAGTGAGGCCATACACCAGTTTTATTGAATAAGTAGCAAGCAAATAACAGACCGTGTGCGCCGAGCACCGCGAGAGCTTCGCCCCCTGTTGCCCACAATACTTTCTCCACCAATGTTGTCTTTAGCATTGTTTGGATTACCATAGAAATATTCCACTTTCATTTGCGTATTTAAAAATAGATTTATTTAATTCAATTTAAAAAAATTCCACACGGTTGGGTCGACGTTGATTATCTTGGTGTATTGAATCTATCGCTAGGTTAGACGCAAAATTATACGCGATTATGTAAAACGCCGTTCTCATACCATATCTGATACGTCCCGTTCTGCACAAAACCTCGTATACACTTCGCATCGAATACACGTTTCGTGGTCGATAATATGGACGTAAGGACGGACAATACGACGGATATTGCATACGCCACGTTGTATCTTGTTGGTGTTTCTTAATAATCAAAGGGACACACGCTGCTATATGTTATTGAAAAGTTTAGACTTGAAAAAATACGAGGTCCGGTGAGAAATTTGTAGTGTCCACATATTATAAAGATCGATAGATTTTTTTTAAGGTATGGGTGACAAGCGGTAACAAAGTTCACCTGATGGTAAGTGGTTGCTATGGCCCATAGACATCTACATCTATCCTCGTTCGGAAATAAAAATGCAGATGCGTTGTCAGCCGTGAGGACTAAGATGGTATGCCTCTTTTATATATATATATATATATATATATATATATATATATATATATATATATATATATATATATATATATATTAACAAATTAGTAATTGTGTGATAACGCATCTGCATTTTGATTCGCAAACGAGGATAGATGTAGATGTCTATGGGCGACAGCAACCACTTACCATCAGGTGAACTGTGTGCTCGTTTGTCACCCTATCCTATAAAAAAAATTTAAATAAGATAGACGACTACTAAGTTATAAAATAGATCTTATTTAAAATGAGTTATCTTTTTTTTTATAGAATAAAGGTGACAAACGAGCACACAGTCCACCTGATGGTAAGTGGTTGCTGCGGCCCATAGACATCTACATCTATCCTCTATTACAGATCAAAATGTAGATGCGTTGTCACCCGTGAGGACTAAGATGGAATGCCTCATTTCCAGTAAATAAATTATAGAGATAATATTCTAATAAAATATGAATCACTTATAAAGTTTACATCATTTAATCAACGTAAAAAATACAAAACGGCAGCAAGCAACAAGAACAAGCCTGTCATTGAGGCGGGTTCCAACCGGTCAGAAGTGTTGCAATAGTCCTCGAAGCACTGGCAAACGGTTCCCAAATGGTCACCGTTGTCATCGCGGTAGCAGGGATACTCGTGGCGAATCCAGCCGCAGCCGCGGGTCACTCGGATATCGGACTGACGGTGCGAATGGTAAACTAAAAAAATAATACATCAATATGAAAAAACAAGATTGATTTCGTCTTTATAGAAGCCGTAGTAGCTCAGAGGCTATGCAGTTGCCGTAAATTTAAAAGTACGCGAGCAACCCGGTCACCAATTAAATTGTTAATTGCAATTTTAAGTTCTGGTTTTCTACGTGCTTGGCGGTGAAGGAATCATTTTGCATATCAATATGATAACAATCTGCATATCTGAGATATTAAAATATTTCGAGGGCCTATAAAGACCGTGTTGGCGTGCACGTGTGTTGATATGGCAAAATAAAATTCTCTCAGAAATTAGAGGGGGGTTCGTCCCTAGCATTTTTATATAGGCATTGCATAGGAGGTGTTTGCTCGTTTGTCAAATGTGACAAATAACTAAAAGAAAATTCTGGGTTATGTAAAGACGGTTAGTCCACATGTTGACGCCGAACACGTAGTAAATTAGTTATCAAAAATGTAATTAAAATTTCAGTATTGCTGGCACCCAGAATCGAATTCAGGTTGCTTACTTATTATGAAACGTACTCGCTCTGACCTTGAGCTTCCGGCTCAACTTCGAGTATGTATATAATCTTAAATCTTTATATATAAAAATTAAAAATCGATTGCTGTCCGCTAGTCTCGATAAAACTCAAAAACAGCTCGACCGATTTTGATGAAGTTTTTCTTGTGTATCTGAATGGGTCCCTATATGGTTTAGATTCATTTAATTTGGACCCGGTACGTGGCGCTATTGTCGAGATCTAGAAGTCATTCATGCAAAGCCTCGGCGGATCGCTAATCCTCTATAATTACTTACTTACTATTTTATTATGGTTAAAAAAGTAAACTTACTAGTCTGAACAATTTTTCTGCAGAAGAAGTGGTAGCCCCCGGGACTGGGGATGGCTGTTTCGCAATTCACAATCGGTACGATGCGTGATCGTATTTCCTCTGAATACATGTTCACATCTAAACAGGCTGTGTTATTTGCACTGTTGCAATAGTAACAGCGTATGCACCAAGCTGAAAACAAAACAGTTAATACGTGGTAGAATCATGCTGCACCCATGTTATGGTTGTACCACGAATGGGTCGTCAAGACCAGTGAAGGACCACGCTCTCACAGAATTCCAGTGTAAAATAGCAGCTTAATACTGCTGCGTTTCATATGGTCAGTGTAAAGAATCAGAAACCCTTATAACTGGAAACGAGGCATCCCATCTTAGTTCTCAGGGGTGAACGCATCTGCATTTTAATTTTTGAACTAAGGATAGATGTTTATAGGCCACAGCATACACTCACTATCAGGTGGATTGTGTTGCTCGTTTGTGAACCTTATTCTATAAAAAAGGGTAAAGTAGAGTAACAACATTCAAACTAGTAACTGGTTGAAACTTCTTTCTACTTCCTCTTCTTCTTTGTCAGGCTAACGCTAGAGATGGGTCTGTCCAGTTATAGTGAGTACACTTAATCGTTATGCTTGGCCGTCAGATTGACGATCGCAGTATCATACGTCTTGTACCTCCGAGGCTGCTGTTCTTTCTTTGCTGTCTAAACATAAACGAGATGGGTATCATTATCTAATAATAATATAATAACAATAATAATAAAATATTTATTCATTGACCAAAAGTAATAAAATATTTAAAAGTTAAACTAATACAAAAATGATATTTTTAGAAGGACAATGAAAGGGTTCTGACTCAGCATGTGTTGCAGAGAATCTACAACGCTGTTATTCTGTCAGTACCCATATACCTACTTAGTGAGCTAAAGTATAACAGTACGCGTACATCACTGATTATATTACAAATAGCTTTTAGTGTTAAAATATTTATTTATTCATTCAGCCAGTACAAGAACTATTTAATTAACCAGTACAAGTTTTCATATTATTTCTATTAATAAATTGATAATTAATATTCATGTACAAAAGATAAACATAATATAAACAAAATATAAACGAAATATAAACAAAAACATATGAAAAATAAATAATAATATTAAAAGTAAGAGCTACAGTAGTGTTTTATTTATTCAGACTAATTATAATAATTATGCTAGAACATCGTAATGGTTATTAAAAAGAATATTGGTAGTAAATGTAAGTTACATAATTGAATATAACTAAATATGGGATACTCAGCCCCTGCCAATTTTTTTTTATATTTATGACATTTTCTGCGTACTTAATAAATGCTCTTTGTATTTTCTCTTAAAACTGTTCTTATTTGTTATGACTCGTAATGGTGGTGGAAGATCATTCCAACATTTTGTGGCCATAAATTTGTAACTACCACGAAATGCTGATGTCCTATGTTGAGGTATACAAAGTACTTTTGCACACTTTCGAATACCGTACTGTATCTGGATGGATATCTATTGGAAGCCATAAGATTTTTCTGGCATTTCCCACAGCCTCTTCTTACGACACCTATTTTACGAATTGGGGCGATTCTCTTACGCTGCTATCACACGGCTGACTGCTCAAGACTACTGGAAAAAGGTCTGATTTCGGACAAGGGAAGTGTCCGTCACTTCCCTTGTCCGTTACCACGTATTCGAGCCAAACGGTTTGCTACGTCGTTCATCATGCGTACAGCAAAGGAGTCGAATAAGTTGCAGCATCTGTCTTTCCATCCGATTGCTATGTGGGTGTCTTCAAGAGTGAATAAGTTTATGTTAAGTCAGTGCAATCGCTTCACCATCTTATGCTACATCGTCACTTACCATCAGGTGGGATTGTAGTTAAGCGCTGGCTTAAAATAATATTAAAATAAAAGAATGCGTGGTATGTCTTAAACAAAAGAGGTGACTGGCCGAACATCTTGTTATCCGATGGTAAAGGAGAATGAGATAGTAATACTCATATTATACATATTATTACGATAAAATAAAACATACCTTCACTAAAGAAATATATCGGAAGTAGAATTAAGTATATCCATTTACTGTTAAGCACCATGTTGCTCTGTAATAATAACAAATCATTAATTATATGTTTACCACTACTTTGTACAATAAACATAATACTTCTTACTATCAGAATGAAGCAATTCTGTAATTGAGTCCAAATAATAAGCGATAAACTAAATATGCTGCTATCGAAGTAAAACAAAAATAGTCTCTAATATATCTTGTTTTAAAGCAGACGATAGACGATTCATTTTATTCAATATTATTAAGCACATTATTAAAATGAAATGTAGTTAGTTTTTGGGGATTATTATAACTTATTTTTTTAATATTAAAAGTTGAAAGACGGGTTGATGAGCTATGATATGAAGATTTCCAAAATCTCAGTCCGATATAATCCTTAAAATTAGGTTTTTCGATAATAAGTACTATATACGTAAAAATCATTACATGGCTACGATTTTTTCGCAACTTTTACATTAAATAAAAACAAATAACATTTTTATAAGAATCATATCTTTATGTGAATTCACAGTTAGAAATTATTAGATTGGTTTTAATACAAAACGGAAGAACTAGAATTAAATAATACGAGACATATTCAAAAAAACTGTTTTTAAATATTTCATAACACTCATTTAACATTTCAGATAAATTTGTTTTTTAATTTAAATTTTATAAACAATAATAGCTTACATCATTCACAACTTGGAACTTTACCGAAAGTTTAGCACAGACTGCAGTAAATTATATTAATACTTAAAAAGAATTTACTCTTGAGGGCCTAAAAGCAAATAAACATATAAAGCTTTTACTATATGTTTCTTACTCTGTACGTTCGTTCGAAGTAAAGAATAGTAACTGAGTTAACTAAAATAATGCGATAACAACGCTAGCATAACATGAGTAGTTTCATTATATACGGTAACCGCGCGATCTTGATACGCAATGACATGTTTATATCAAATTAATAGGGGATAACCCGAATAAATAGATCAACTATTTCAGTTATCCCTAGTAAATATATTAAATTTTTATTATCATTCATAAATTAATCAGGTGATGTTCGTATGGTTGATGATGAACGTATCTGACCGAGTCCTGGTACAAATCCGGCTCGGATTTGATTTCGGCAACAGATAGCCCTGTATCAAATAAAGCTGTAAAAACCAAAAGGCTAACAGCACTAACATCTCAGAATAAAGGTAACGATTGTTCTTCGGGTATAAATGGCGAAACTATTTTTGTTCCATGTCTTTTACATTGTACTCGATCCTTCCTCGAGCCATATTAACGGGTTTATAGTATATTGTTTTACAATACATGAGTGGAAAATGCGCTAACGGTCCACTTGATGGGAAGTGGTTACTGCAAGTGGAGTTATAGGATAGAATATCTAACACTATACATGAAAATTAAAAAAAAAACTTTCAATATTAATCCCCAAAACTAACCCCTGAAGTCGAAGATCTGAATTTTTAACTTAAAGTTCGTGTTAAGTAGGTACTCCTCAGTACAAGCGAAGTCCTAAGAATAGTAGAAGAAAAGATGGACTCTGCTGTCCTTGATCGGTTCATCGATCGCACTATTTTTGGTCATACTATTTTATTACCAAAATAGATGTACCTAAGCCTCATACTAACAAATATAGACCTACTTTGCTTGAGAATAAACAGTTATTATAATAATTCTTAATAATTTAGGTAACAGGATATTATAACTATGCCGTATTTCAATTATTAATGTCAAATAGCCTCCGGCAAAAACGTTTTTGATAAACAGAGATAAGGCTCGGAAACATTATAAAAATAACGTTTTTAAAAAATTTGGGACGGTTCCTTGTATAACATTTTGTTTGGAACAAAAACGAAATGAGAACGTAATGTGAAAACGTAAAAAACGCTTTATTCCTCAGGAAGCTAAATTAATGGCACATGCCACGACAAGTTAAAACCTACAAGGTATTTTTGTTTCGTATTGCAGGGCCAAAAATGGGAAAAAACGGATTAAAATGGTTAAAAACGTTTTATTGAACAAGAACTATTTAAAATTCTCTTCGTAAACGTTTTTATTATGATTCCGTTCGAACATAAACGAAACAAATAAGTTTAGGTGTTTAAGGCGAAAACGTTTCGAAAAATATACCGTTATCCGAGCCCTGAACATAGAGACGTCGAGGTAAACGTTCCTTACTGCTAAATTTGGTATGTGACACTAAAAATTAACACAGCATCAGTATTCATGAAAGATAAATAAAGGTTTATTTTATAAGCTTTACTTTATAACATTGCTTTTCTTCATAAAAGTATGTTAGTTTTATTATACAATTGACGATAATATATCAAGTATCTAAAATTCATAATTATAGTAATTAAAAAAGTTTATCAGCTATCACTGACCTGCAAGATGTCACATTAGGTTCCGCAAATGTAACTATAATATTAAAAGACATGAATAACTGAGTCGAAATAAGGTCAAACGTAGTATCCAGTTTTATTTAACAATATGAAAGTTAGAGAAAATAGGAGAGGGGTAGCCAACAGTTTAACATACGTCATTCAAACATTTCGGTTTATTCTGGCAATACAGTTTACGTAAATTGCAGATATAGAAGTGGAAGGAAATGAAGTGATAAATTTAATATCATCATGAAGGTAGATTCATTCATTTAACGGTGGTAGAGCCACGCAGCAGTTTTTGCTGTTGCATGTATGGGCCGGCTCGAGCCGGGTTGGTACCACGACCTCACAGAATACCGGCGTGAAGTAGAAGCTTTGCTTCTGCGTTTCGTCTGGTGAGTGCAGGTGGCCGGAGGCCCAATTCCCCCCCCCCCCCCCCCATCAACATGGTAGCGGAATTACACGAAGAACTACCCCAGGAGGGTACCAGCACCCCTGGAGAATCCCTCGCTGAGCATCCACGACCATGTTATGCCGATCCTGAGCGTGGGTGCTCAGGCTGCCCCGCGTATTCTGGGGGGGGACTTCACTCTAACCTAAGCGCCGTCCACTACCATCTCGAGACGGCGAAGCCGGCCTTGCTCTT